AGTTCGCAGATGTACCAGTACTAGAGAGGGTGTTAGTCGCGATTCTACTGGTAGCACTCATTTGCACTCAAAGGGCCTCCGAGAAGAGCATACCATGAGAGCGTCCCGATTATGTTCCCGGGTGAGATCGGTTCTATGTCGGCCTGTTCCATATCGAACTCCTTGAATCTGAGTGATGAGGTAGATGGTGAAGATGAGCTGCCAAGAGAGTCAGCGAGTGTGTACTTCTTACTTGTTGTGTGATGTCTCGTAGGGAAGTACCATGAGGGCGATCATCATCTTGTCATCGGTGCCGAGCGATCGTGTAATCCATCCACGGCAGTATATGCGCAGGCCGACGGCGATCCAACATAATATGAAGAAGAGGACCGCCACGGCCAGCACTTGCCCGCTGCGATCCTCCATGATGGGATCGAAGCATCCACGGGTATTCCCTTGGTAGGCAGTATTCTTTCTTTTCTCCTTCACGTGAGCGTCATGACGAGGGTGACATTCGACCGTCGGTTTACAGCTTGGTAGAATGGGATGTGCAGAGTGTGATCCGAGTCGACGGGACAAGACCGGGCAAGACGATATAGAGAGCGGACGACGGGAAGAGAGATGGACCCGTCAGGGTTAAGGGAGGGGCTACCCGATATACATATCAGGAACGTCTCAACCGAAGTGGCAGATAGGTTTAGGGGTAGCTTCATATCTCGATGTACGAGCCAGTCTTAAGAATAGCTTAGTGTCCCGGGTGTGGAGAGCCGGGCGACCTGAACACACGAGTCTAGACGAAGGTAGCGGGCGGGACCATCGTCACTAAACGCTCGTCCAAAGAGGTCCGAATACAATCTCCGACGCCCTCGAGGATCTTGGGAACGCGGCTCATGTGTTGGGGAGTGATCCATGTGTGTGTATGTGTAATTGAGGAGACGAGATCAATGGTGGGACGAAGCTGGCGAAGGTTCCTGGACTGCTCCGTTAGCTATGAGCCTCTGAGGGGTGGGAGGCAACCTTGGGTTCTATCTAAGAGGTCGACAGGGAACGGCCTTGAAGCCAGCTTGAAGCCAGCGACATATTCGCCAGTCAGAAGCGTAGGAAAAACGCAAGTAGCGTCTTGATTGAGATAGGGTTTCCATCTAGCGGTTCAAATGGCGTCTCTGGCGAACAGACGCTAAAGCGTGGTAAGAAGAGGTGAGGGCAAGGAATCATCAGGTCAATGGGGCTGCGAAGCTGGAACCGGCTCGGAAACGGGCGACCATGCGGCTCGAGCGTTGGGTTGCGTGGTTGCTGTGCGGCGCGCTCGAGCCCTGGTCGTCGCCGTAGATCATAGAAGAGCGGGGTGGGCGCTTGGCTTGCGGGTTTAGTTTCTTTTGGGTATAAGCTAGGCACAAGTGGTCTGTTTTTGGCATAGGATCTCCTATGTTTCAGGCCGACAGTTGAGAGGCTGGATTGTGGTGGTTGTGGTGGATGGAAACATTCGGTTGTGAGGTACGGATATAGACGCAAAAGATAGGAGAGGTGGACTGATGATTTTGGATCTTGAACAAGGTCGAGTCAAGACTCCGCTGTGCTTTTTACTGACTGGCTGACTGGCTGTGATGGATGCCAAAGAAACATCATCGAGGGTTGTTGTTGGTGTTGGTGTAAGTTGAGTGCTGCAAAAGCCTATCGCCGCTACGTGAAGCGGACGAACCACCGAGCGACACTTGATCTTCTGTGCCAACAAATCATCATGCAGCCATGATGCCATAGGAAGGGACGGAACAGAGTTATGAGGTGCAGAGGGGCAGGAAACGGCCTCACGCACTTGCGCAGGGTCGCGACATGTTTGATGGGAAACATTAACCGCATTGGGCCTTTCCTCCGGTGCTCGAGGACAATGGTGTGAAGAAATGGAATGGAAACAAGTGTGCCCGTATGATGTATCTGTCACGGCCTGTTGTGAAGTACACACACACATACTCAACAAACCTCATCCCCCAATGCACAATGCACTAGACACGATGCAGCACACTGACACCTTCAACAGATTGTGGCCCTCCTATTGTACTTTACAATTCGTACGAGAATTTGCATTGATGAATAATCTACGTAAACGACGAGACTGGCTGCAGCTTCATGACGCATCATGCACCTCTGGGTCGCTTGTCTGATCCTCAAGACCAATCAAGGTCGCAAAACCCGTCAGAGGGTTCGAAGAGGCCCGCCGTGAAGCTCTATACATCAGCCAGATCTTGAACCAATGCCTCAGCGCTTCTTGTTCTTGCGCTTGTTGGTCTTGCCTCCAGTCTGCGCACCGGAAGCCTTGGCCTTGCCCAAAGAATCGGTCGATTTCTCCAAGAGCTCAAAGTCATCGGCGGCAGAGTCAGAGCTGGGGGTGTGTTGAATCTCGCCGTCATCAGAGTCCAGGTCCTCGGTGTCGATCTCCAGCTCAGTAGTGTTCTTGCCCAGGGCGCGGCCGACAGTGCGGTTGTAGGCCCAGATGGGGAGGCGGACGAGCGCGGTGTCACGGATGGTGGGTTGAGGCAGTTCGTTGGGCTGCTTTGAGTTAGCATCGTTCGCAGACCTCGTGTCGCGGTAGGTTGACAAGCTTTAGCTTGCATTTTGGGCACTTACGTCAAGGAGGTACTGCTCGGTGTTGCCATCCTCATCCTGCTCCTCGAGGTAGACGTCTCCGAGGGAATCAACCACAAGAATCTTGCCATTCTCGGCGACAACGCGCTTCTTGGAGCCGGTGGGGCCGGTCTGACCGGTCTGCGCAACCGTCTCGCGGGGGGTGGCGGTACCGCTGCCGCTGGTGCTGCGAGCGGCGGGAGCGGGCTTGCGGAATCGGCCTCCACGCTCCTTGGCGGCCTCTCTGCGAGCCATTTGTTCCTGCATACGTCTTTCCTTGCGGTTTCTGGGCAGCTGGGGGCCCTCCTCATCGTCGGCGGCGGGGGCAGCAGGAGCAGGGGCGGGGGTGTCGTCGATGCCAGGAATACTCAGGTTGTCTCCCCAAGCAGCATTGCGTGCGAACTTGATGTAGCGCTCGACAAAGTCCTTCTGGCGCTTCCAGGACATGTACAGAGCGATGTAGTGGAAGGCACCTCCAGCGACAAGGAAGACACCAAAGAGCACAGTGCCCAGACCAGGGCGGTACCGATTGTAATAGTAATTGGTGCCCTTCCAGGCCGGGAAGCCATTCTTCAGGAAGTGGTCGTAGCGGTCGCGATCGGGACCACTGATGATGTTGCGCACGAGACCGAGGCGAGCCTGGCGCTCAGAGGCAATCTTGACAGCGGCCTTGATCTCCTTCTGAGTAGGAGCCTTGGAGACATTGACGCCGGGGGTCTTCTCCTCCTTCTTCTTAGCCTTGGTGCGCTCGGCGATGAGCTGCTGGCGAACTTTATCAGGGTGGAGAGTGCGGGAGATCTTGCGGTAGGCCTTGGTGATCTCGTCGATGGAAGCGCTGTTCTTGACGCCGAGGAGGTCGTAGAAGGTCTGTTCGGGGTTGGCCTCGTGGGCCTTGATCTCATCGCGGATACGGAAAATCTCACGATCTATTGTTTTTCACACGTTAGCCAACGCTGCGCAACGGAGACAATACAGGATGGCGATGCTCGTACCCTCCTTGCTCCAGGCCGCAGCCAGGGGCGAGACGACCAAAAGGCCAACGGACAGGATGCTGCTGAACTTCATCTTGTCGTTGCCGAGTCCAGTCGAGTTCTGATAGAATGGGAAGGCGGCGCGCAATGGCCGAAAGGTAAAGGAGTATCGGGATCGAGAAAGCGCAGCTGTGGCTAGATGCCAGGTGTTGTTAGCTTCGTCTCAACGTGGGGAACAACTGATGGCATGGAGCGAGCTGCCAAATAAGCAACAACAACCACGTACCTCGTTTTTTTCCTTCCCTAGTATCCTCCTGACTCGTCGTCTCGAATTGACAGTATCCCGTCCGGTAGGAATCTGTCGAGTCTCTGCAGAAGAGAAGAGGAATTTTTTTCTCCCACAAGATTGCGAATGGGAGATGTGGTCTCTCTGGGGGAGATTCTGGATGAGGTGGAATTTCCCGTGGACAAGGTATCTTTTTTTTTCCCTGGCGGCCGGGGGTGGGAAGCAGCAGCAAAGCAAAGGCAAAAGGGTCGCAGGCGTCAGGGGATCCCGCCCTCCTGGTGCATCTGCAAAGAGGGCCCCGACTGAAAGGAGAAGGTTCCGACCTCTGCGGGCAGGGATTCTGTCGCCTTCACGAATCGCACCAATCCTCGTTAGGCCTAGACTGATCCAGATCTCGCTCCCTTAATTGTGTGGGTTTGATGTCTTATGTAAGGCGGGTGCTGAGTACCTCAGCTGAGGTAAGCTTTCCACATCGTCGAGGTCTGTCGTTTGACGGCTTCTGTCCATCTCCAGCGCATCTTCACGATGGTTGGCCAGTCGATCAGACACTGCTCGCGGATTATCGTTAACTTTCTTGGTGGCACTGATGGATGTTTTGCACGACTGCTTGGCATCCGAGCTGTGGTACAAAGTCAGCGAATGTACGATGAGGTCAAGGGAGCACAAAAAGCCTTGGACTGTATTTCCTACCCAGAATGGGGCAAGGTACAGTCCTCAAAGGAGGTTTTGATGAGAAAGTGCACTTTCCCTTGTAATCATCCGACCCGCGGTGTGTTGGGGAGTACCCAGTAGCTGGCTAAGGTAGGTAGCAACGGGATTGAACGGCAGGAAAAGATAGAGGCCGGGTGAGGTGAAGGTGAAGGTGAGGGTGAAGGTGAAGGTGAAGGACGGGAGGAAGGAGTCGAGATTCCAAGTGGATACCTTACCTTCCTCTCCTTTTCTCTCTGCTTCTTTCTCTCCCTTTCCTCTTTATTTACTGGTCCCTTTTGAGCCGAGGTATCGCCCTTCCTCAGATTCCATGAGCATTCGGCGGTAACTTGCCCAGAAAATTTGACTTGGAGCCAAACATACTCGATTTTCCCCATTGTGCCTGTCTGACAACAAGTGCGCCCAAATATCCTATCAAAAGTATCCTACCAAACGACATGAATACATTGAAAAGCGAGGCCCAATGGAGCGACCTACCACAGGAGATCAGAGGCAAGATTCTCGAATACGTCCCTGGAAGGTTTGCAGGCATTTGCAGGGACTGGCAAAACGCCATCGAGCCAAGAAACTTTCGGGTCCTCCAAGTCGGTTCGGATGATCAGTCGCTGGGAAACCTGGCCAAGACATTACACAACAAGTACTGCAAAGCTATGTTAAACACATCTGGTTCAAAATCGAGTTGACCGGACCATTGCATCAAGAATCGTTCGAGACGTCAGACTCATGAAGAGATCGCAGCGGACCGCGGATGCTTCGCCATCAACATCTTGATCCTTTTCTGTATTCTCGAAGCCTAGAAGGATGTCGATTCAGTTGGCGAACCAACATACCCAAGTATCAACTTGGAGATCAGTGCCTCTTCGCCAAACGATGTCGGCAATTCGTGCGGAATAGAAGGGCTCTTGGACTACTGGCAGCAACAGCAGCGATACGTGTTTGCCTCTATTAGCCTTGGAGATTTCAGTCTTCCCTACGTCAACTGCGTCACCGGGTTGAGCATTGTGCGTAGAAACATGCACAGAATACAATTAACCCCCTTTGCAGCAACTCTGTCAAGGTATCTACCGAGATTGCGCACAATTCACTTCGAACCGTGGAGGCATCTCAATACGCGGGAACAGAACTCTTCAAACAATGGTATAGTAGTGAAAGCCAGCCCGTCTTCTACCCCACCTCTTCGCATTCTATGGAAGATTCTCTGATTTCTGACATAGACTTGACGACCATGCTGGCAATCTGGTCATATCGAGAGAAACCACTGTTATCAAAAATCCACATCTTCGAGCACGGCGATCTACAAATGCTTTACAATTGGCGCCTATCAGTCCGGCTCGGCTTGATCGGAAATCTGTTCATTCGCTGTCTCGATCTAGAGAAGCTTGTCATCTGCAATATCGCTGATGCCATATACTTCTTTGCCGCCTGCACGAGCAGAGTATGCGTACCTATATCGCCTCTGCCATGGCAGCGTCTGCGTGTTCTGACGATGATATGCCAGGATGCTTGCTCCCGCAAGAAGCCCGGGCTCATCAACACTCTTCTTTCCCAAGATGGCAGGGTCGCGAAGAAGATGCCGGCACTCCGTGTAATGGAACTATACGGTGCATGGCGAGAATCAGCTGGGGTTTTCCGATACCTTGTCACTGGAAATTACGTAGAGATTACTTGGGTTAGCACGTGGGAGTTCAAGCTAGGAGACGAACCCAAGTATATTTGGTGGGATGTCGCGCAGCTCACAGAGGATAGGCTGGTGCTCCTGTTCGCACCCGAAAGGCACCTGCGTACTTATGACGGCCCATTTCACTTTGTACACCAGTGGTCGGTGACTCGGGGCCTGGCTCTTCATTCCTCTTAATCCGCAGCACTTGGACACCATGACCTCCCGGATCCTCTTCGTCGTATTTCGGGATTTCGAGACGTTTCCTGAAATTCTAAATAAAGTAAAGAGCGAACGACATGAAGTCGCCAGAGGGGTGGTTTTCAATACTCTGTCGGAGCAATTGAGGACAATGGGCTCAAGGAGTACAATGGAAAAATGCAAGGGCTTCATCCAGTGGCGTCTTTCCTGCGAATCCATGTGACAAGGGAAAATGGTCTTTGACGAATTCTGACAATTGATATACATTCGAGGCTTTGTTTGCCTTCGTCGTCAACAAGCGGCCCTTGTCCCATTCGGCCGGGGGCACAGCGAGAGCAGCTGCTTCGAGCAGAAGCGTTTCTTTCAACCCTCGTTTAGTTGCCAACTTTAGTTGGAGTATTGGAAGAGTGTTGAGCGGATGAATAACAATAAATGAAACCTTCCCTGCTAGCTTTGCGACGGGTCAAATAGACACTATCAACCCCGGCGCATAGAAAATTCATCGATTCGACAACAACGTCACCTGCCTCTGAGCAGGTTTGAATAGCATCGAAGAGACACCGTATCCAATATGTGTATCATCTTATGGCGCAGGTATTATTGCACGAAACCACCTGGATATACGCTGCATGATGGCAGAACACTCAACATGATTTTCAAGAAGTGCCGCACAGAAAGCATATCCATTGGGTCTACAACTTGATCCGATGCGCTCATCTGCACGCAACGGATTGCATGAACGGGCTCTGTCGAGGAGTCTTGGTTCAGATAATGGACGGAGAATGCTACTTCTGTACCGGCGACGTCGATGCGTACTATGACAGCCCCGACGAAGTAATGCAATCAATCCCCAGAACCATTAGGCTCCCGGGCCCAGGGGTCTATTTGGAGGCCATCCCGACTCACAAATTCATAATCTACCGCGAGAATTACCTCCGCCAACTACTCAGACTATCCTTGACGATGCTATCGAAACCTTTCCCCGTGGAAGCCGAGAGCCGCGAGTGGGAAATGGAGATCTCGTCCGCTTGGCCAGAGATCTGGTGCAAGCTGTTGCGGACACACATTGGGCATAACGTATTCCACTGCGACTGCAAGCCCATGGACGAGGTGTGGCGCGTAAACCCTGCGTTTGCCATGAGGAAGAACGAAGCAGCTCATATCCTCGAGGATATGGCGTACAGGACCGATGAAGCTGGAACTCTCGAGGTTTTTGCCGAGGAGATTCGGGGACAAGCTTTCGATGAGGATGAGGAAGTGTGGGAACTTACCACCGGGCCGAGCGAGAGAGCGATCAACCTGGAGAATTTGCACAACGATAAGCGCGACTTTCCCGGTCACCAGATGGCGTTCGTGGCGTTGAGCAGAGACACCTACAAACGCCGCCTCCACAAGCTCCTGGAGAGAGCGAAGCGAGCCCGCAACGCCATCTCAGAGAGGGGCTCGGACGAGTCCCAGAAACACCCATCGAGCGCGTACTGGCACTCTCACAGGATGCCCTGGCTGGGCAAGGAAGACTGGAGCCGCGCCGTGTGGCGGCGCTACCACTTCCTCGCCTGGCTGTACAACTTCCTCGCCCTAGACGCCGGTCTAGACGAGCAGATCATGATGTATATTGGCGGCGCCCTGCTCGCCGTGCTCAACCCGTGGCCGAATCCGCACTACGAGGACCACGCCTCGCATCCGGCGTACCTGACCCTTGACCCCGATCTCCCCGGTGCCGACCTCATCCAGGAGTGCGTCTACTGGGTCGAGCACCACTGGCCCATCCTTCCGTCCAGCACCCGACCGACCGACAGGCTCGGCATGATGCTTGACACGGGCCTCCATCACTTTGAGACAATTAACCGCAACACGGCAATTGCGCTCGCGGACATGAGGTCGCGGAACCGTTCGGCGGACGCCAGGACGATGATGTACGCCGTGCTGCCCGCGGCGGCCGTCGCCGACGGCTCGCCAAACTGCAATATCTGCATGTCCGAGTGGGACGAGTACCCGAATCACGAGCCCGTGATGCTGCCCTGCTGCTCGCAGTACGTGGGGCGCAAGTGCCTCAAGAGCTGGCTGGCGCTGCGGGACCTCCGCGGGGCACGCGACGGGCGTGACGAGACGGAGGAGACGTGGGCGGCGGAGTTTCGCTGTCCCTTGTGTAGATCGAAGATTGGAGCGCATTTCTCGCCGAATATCAGACAGGGCGGGCCGGCGGATACGACAGATTTTAGTTTCTATGCCTGTTTGCGGGCGTATCCGAATGCTGATGGGTACTGGGATAATCGACCGGCCCAGTGGGGTGCTTGATTAGAACGGCGGCTTGGGTACTTGGTTTAGGATCGTGGAAATCGCCGAGGCTTGTGAATGTTGTTGGACAGTTGGACGGGTATGCGAGGAGATCAAAGTGAAGAGAGAAAGTTGCCTTGGGACTTGAGGTGAGTTAGTGCTGAGGGCGGGTGTAGATGTATAGGACGAGACTGTGATCTACTTTGGTAAGCGAATTCATGTTGATTGACCATGGAGGCATGGCTTTCCTAAATGTTTCACGTCAAGTTGCAAGATGTGTGACAAACTCAAGTGTTAGTGGATGGAGATGTGTTCGTGTTTCTTCCAAGAAGAACGGTTTAGCCACACCGCGGGATGGTGAACCCGAGATCGACTTGGAAGCACCACGTGGGAGCAGGACAAATTTTGGCGAGATTCTCAGCCTTATGTTCACTCAGTATGGATAGATAGCATTCTTTTCTTTTCCTCTGGGTGTACTGTGCTGCCAAAGATCTTGGCATCGAGCAGTTGACCGTGTTAGTCATCGTGAATTATTACCCCTGGCATGGACCAATCGGCCCAAGGCTGCACCTGCAACGCCAACGGACTGGCATCGTAACAGTGCCTAAAGTGTGAATTTATGTCCAGAATCCCTTGTAGCCTAATCTAGGAAAATATGTTGCTTGCCTAGGGCGCTGGCATACCATCTCCTCCGAGGCAATCAAAGGTAAGAGAGAATGAAACTTTCCTAAACAGACACCACGTCTTTCTCCCGGAACAGATATGGGGAAACACATCATGGTTCACTTTGTTCACTGACTATGTGAAGCTTCATGTACTTTACAACTGTTATGCCATTGATGGTCTCGCTCTAACCGGAGACTCGGCGTGTTGGGAGATTGATTGGACAAAGTTGACGTCTACAGGTAATTGATATGTTCATCCAGTAGTAAGTTGTGATAATAGTCCACCAGCCTAGCGTTACACCGCAGTCCATCCGTACAAAATCTCAAAATTCTTCCATAATCAATTCACTGCCACTCGCGATCTTCGACTCTGCCTTGGTATTTTGACAATTTCGGCGCCATGCAATCCTTGATGCATGAGTTCCACGTGACAGCGATAATCAGCGCTGGGGTGCAGCGGAAGAAGCATTGTCCCTGTGGTTTTTGTTAGCTAAACAGATCCTCGGAGGGAACATGGAATTAGAGCAGCTTTTCGTACGTCCTGTGGTGGAGTTTGTTAGCTTCTGTGTTCATGCGCAAAACGTGTCTTGTCGAAGTACTTATGTCGGTACCGGCAAGAGGCTGCAGGTTTTCGACTTACGATTGGAACAGTCATCGCCGAAGATTGGTCATCGGATACGTCCGCCGGGATAGAGACTTTGTCTTTTTGGATGGGGGATGCTGCGCCGGCTGCGATGAGGAGGCCGAGTACGGCCGTGAAGGGTGTTGTTAGATGCATTTTGGTGACTTTGTATAGGTGGTGGTGACTTGAGAAACCTTGGCTTTTGGATGGAACGTGGAGATATAGAGGAGAAAGCCTATAGTTTCTACGGGTGAAGGAGACTGCTGACTTTATACTCCCACGGTTCCATCATGGTTGCCAGGACTCGCGGTAACAATGGGCAAGTCAGGAAGGTCGATTTACGTCGAAAACTGTATTATTGTACTCGTGGCTCTTAACCGATACATTGGATGGCAACATGATTGGCTTCTCCAGCTGATCTGAGGATATCTACGGCATGACAGTCACGCCTTCGCAGACGAGAAGGTATAGCGGCTCCGACCTTGACGGCATCACCGGCCGTCTGCCCGCCCGGGTGCTGGACCGCGAAACTGGTGTTGCTGGTGGTGCGGCTGGACGGTCTAAAGGGGTGTCATTCCGGGCAAAAGCTCAATTAAAGGGTTCTAATCCAAGATCAATCTAATGATATCTAGCATTCAAAACTAAAGGATAATACAGAGATCTTCGCAAAAGGTGAGCTTTTCTGAATATTTATTTCCAGTCTACATTGTAAGCCGGTGGACCTTTTCTTCTGTTGTTATTCCAGCTTGGATCCAGGTAAACCATCCTGACATCAAGTTACGCTCTTGTTGAAGTTGTGTATCATTCACGTAGGGCTAAAGTCATAGTAGTTCTAGAATGACCAGAATCAGTCTTGGGAAAGAACAAAGACATAATGACCAACATGTGCTTTAGAAAGGGAACTTATTATGACTCGGCACAATCATCTATTCCCTAAACTAATAAGGTTGAATAGTATCACCAGTAAACGTATAGAGTGCTTGTTAGTTGGCTGTGAAGTAAACACTTCCTTCAACTAGACAGAGAACAATGTCCTTGTTCCCTCCTATACATTGTTCAAGCAGAACGACCCAAGGTGGTTGCTAACTACCCAAGGCGGTTTCTTGCCTGAAAGGATGAGCTTAAAAAGAGATGATCCATTGTCCAAGTCTCTGAACCCATTATACTCACACCCAACTTCATCGCACACCTCCAAACTACCTTGCCGCAAATCGAAATACGTATCCAAATACGCGCTCAGGAGCATACTAGCACAACCCACACTACTTCCAAAATGTATACTTTTAGCTGCTTCGCCTCTCTGCTGTGCCGGGCTCAGCAACGGTTAGTGGTTGACCAAGCTCCGGACTATGCATCCCCCTTGCCTCTATCTAGAGAAGGCTCTCTGGCATCATCTTCCACCTCCTTGCTGAGCTATCGCCAGCTTACAGGGG